TTTGTTTATTTAGTTATTACTTTTTACAAAGCTTCTGGATTCCTCCTGCGTCGGTTTTTGCTGAGTCGAAATTGCTGGCGTTTCGCCTGTCATCCTGTTGGCTTCTTCAGAGCTTGACTGAAACTGTTTATATGTTTAGATGTTTATATGTGAAAGACACTTTATAGAGGGTGTATTCGCAATAAAATGACATCGATTTTGTGAAAGTTCCATAGTGATCCGCAGGAGCACGATAAAAAACAATGCGTTACTCTAGGAGAAGAAAAAGCGAAGCGCCTTCTTTTTAAAATAAAAAGTTGATTCGCGCTACTTGCGACGAACTTGCCCGCCTAGCTACGATTTTTCGAAGAACGCAATCTTGTTTAGAATTGTAGGGATTTTTTGTTAGCTGTAATCAATTACCTTCCCGAAGATATAAACGATTTTTTTTTGTGGAAATGCAGTACATTTCAGTTGCACGGAAAGTTAAACTAATTTTTAGGTTCTAAATATAATTATAAAAAATAAAATTGCGAAAAGACATCCAACCCAATGAAACCTAATCAAACTAATGCAACTTATTAAAAAGCATTTCCATAGAAAAAATTCAATATGTTCTATCCCCAAATATTAGCAACCTCTTTTACTTTTTTAATCCTATATTGGCATCATTTAATATCAGAAATAAGTCCCAATTTGTTTTAATCAAATTCATATTGGATCCAGTTTTCTAAATAAAAATTAGCCGTTGATATCTTGGTAGAAGATCGTAGTAGATAAATGTTATATTTTCATGATGGTATTTTTTGTAAATACAAAACTTAGATGTTGATATATTTTTACCTAATTTGTCCATTTTTTTGTCCAAGACTAAGAAACTTAAAAATTTCAAAAAACCATCAATCTGAATTAGACAATCATATAACAAAAAGATTTACTAAAGTGAAATTTTTTTTTTATATTTGTTTTATTGGCATTTCTTTAAGTAGCAGTAAAATTTGTAATTAGACACAGTTGTAGCCAAAATTTAACGCATAAAGATAACCATCACCCAAAATTTACAATAAAATGATAATAAATGGACTTCTTTCTAAATAATTGTGTGTGTGTGATATTATACTATGGGGCTGTAAAATAAAATAAAATAAATAATACGTCCGAAAAAATGACACAACCGCTTTTGCGGTTATTTTCAGTGATCAAGGCGAGGTGTCAATTATTCCGGCACACGAACGGATAATTCAATCGACCTTGTACAGGGTCTATTTCGTTTGTTTCGAAAATTATGAGAAAATGGTAAATACAAATGAGACATAAGTATAGTCTTTCGCAATCTTCATCGTGCAGGCTTATGTAGGTATTAAAGGACTGAACATTTGGGACTGACTCTCAAAGGTTTCGGTAATAACATAATTTTTGGAATATTTTAGCAGACACACTATACAAAATCCGAGTCTATTGCAGCGGAGGGTTATATGTTTGCCACTATTTGGTCATTTTGCTTCGTCAAGGCGATATAATAATAATAAAGGTCTTTATTTCCAATAATCAGCAATAAACAAAAACAAATCAGTCTTAAAAAAAGCGAGGTTCAGTTCAGTGACGTATCACGGACCTGTTCTTCCACCTAACCTGAAAACTTAAAGCAGAGGACAGATGTGCCATACTTGTACCGATTTTTGTCTATAATTAACTATAAAACATTGTATATAATAAATAAATCTTCGTTCTGGGGTACTTATAACAGAACAGAATGGAATCGGAAAGAATTTTATCTTAGTCAGGATATACGTGGAATCCCAAGCAATTTAAATTATATTAATGGTACTAATCAACTGTAAAAATAAAGAAATCGCAACCTTGTAGCTTGATTGAAGCCGTTGTAGTAATATTTGACGAATATTGCAGCTATCGTTAACAAACTGTAAGGCCCGTGTGAATGAATGGTAACTAAATCATCATGTTCTCACAAATTTGAATATAATTCGCTTAAATTTGGAACACTACTTGCATATCAAAGACACAATATGTGGAGTAATTGGACGCTTATTTAACATATCTTTTTCAACGTCTTAAAACATTTGGGTATGCCAATTTTTTTCATGAATTTCAGTTGTCAAAGCATAGGACCCAGAAAATTTATTAACTCATCGTGGAAGTAATTCGATAGTCGATCGGTTATTTCTGTCTGGCATATATTTTCCAATTTTTTTTTTTACTTACTGCTGTTGAATCAAAGATTTGTGAAAATATAAGTCAATTAAATTAGAACAAAAAATGATTTCTTTTTCACAATTTTCTTTTTAAAGTGACATATTAAGTAGTCTGTGGATAAAACAATAAAAGACAGCCATTTTGGGTGTGTGGGGATAATTTCATTTATTATGTATTAGTGTGTGTGTGAAAAATGTGCAAAGCAGAGGCGATACGATAACCAATTTTAAATTGCATCAGTACTAAATACTTATTTCAATCATTATATACACTGAATAGGAAGTCTTTAAATACTGTATTCGTTAAGAACCTACTTTTTCCTTATTTATTAACTTGAGAAATGCTATCTACTTAAAATGTCACCGTGAGAGCTTAGTGCGTGAGTCTGGCCAGTCTGGAAAGATTTAGTACTTCTGTTTTGGGTGATCATTTATACCTTTTAACTTTCTTATTTGAAAAAAAAAAGTTCAAATACAAAATGTGCTAAAAAAAAGTAAGCTATTTGCAAAGATATTTTTTTATATATACACAGAGTGTTGCAGAAATCACCCATAGATAATAAATAAAGAAATAAATAGAATATATTTTGTATTGCACATCTCCTTTCATTATATATTTCCTTCATTATACATTCATATATGATAGGATTTGATTTTCTGCTGAATGTCATGACTTAACACTGATATTGACATTTAGTGTATTTGATTCTGACCATTTAATTAGTTTTGGTTAGTTTGATTACTAACCATTAGAATTTTTCTAACAATCTCAGTATTAGTGATTCAGTCACCATCAAAATAATGTTATCATTCTTCATCATCAATTTTTTTAAACGATCTGAACAAGGTTCTCTTTTCTTGCCTGTCCTCCTATTTGTCCTATTTAAAATAAGTTGCGGTTGTAATAGTTATCGCTAGAATAATCAGATCAAAGCGAAGGTGAACAAAGGTCGCAAAAAAAGAAGCATCGCGTTAGAAAATTGGCCCAGATTTTCTATTGACGATGTGCTCGTCCATCGTCTCGACACCTCAATTGAACAATTCGTCTCTAGCCCTAATAACGGTGACATACTTTCGTGAGGAATATTTGCCTATGCAAAGTTCATTTATTTCGTTATTAAAACAGGCCGCATAAGTCGTTCATAAAACTGCCATTGCTATGGTGACAATGGGCTGTTGCTATCGTAACCGCGGAAGTTAAGAGAAAAAAATTCCCGTTGGGCGTGCGATATTCAAAATTCTTATAGTCGTTTTAACAGTGGTACACTTGAAAGTATCTTCTGTGAATTAATAAATATATACACGCATGAATATCAAATTCAATTTTTTTAACTTAAACTTAAATGCTTGGAACGACTGAATAATAAAAGTGATCTTTTGTTTGTTCATACAGGCTCTTTACAGATCTAATCAGTATTTGATTTCTTTTATTTTAATTGATTTTTTATTAATTTCATCAGAATACGTATTTACCGTTTTTTTTGTAGGAATTTCAAAATATTTTAAAGCCACTATAAACAATATAGTGCAATACACACACGACAGACTATAAATTGTCGTCGTCGAATATGTCTCGCGTATTTAGTTGGTGGCTTGTCAAAGTCGTGGAACTAGCGGAAAATAGAGCATTAAAAAAGAAAATAGCATATGGCAGTTTTACATTAAAACAACAGATCCAAATAAATCTGAGTTTAGAGCGATTTGTAAAATCAGGAAGAAAGAAATTAAAAGGACAGTTAACGCACACCATGATGTTTGTTCTAATAAGCAGCGAGAAACGAATACAGGTAGGTAAATAATATTTTGTTGTATATAGCGTTCCTGATTGTTTAAAGATGTACGTCAGTCAGCGGTATCAATTATTAAAAATCTGGGAAGAAAACAAAAACCAAATTGATTCGATCATTTACCAATTGGTGTCGGCACAAGAATATTTAAGCACTTTTAAATCAATATTACTTGGTCTTCATATTTTGCAGAGAAAATGCTGTAGATAGCAATGGAAACATTTACAATATATCTTCAAGAATCTTATATAATTAGCCTTATCACAAATACAAAAATTTAAAATCCATATAAGGAGGCACTCACGCCGTATCATTTTTTAGCCCATAAGTTGCAGCAAAAATATAAGTAAACACCCGAAGAAGAGAATGTGGCTTTAGAAAGAATAAATAATTTACATGAAAATGGAAAATTGAAAATATGGAAATAAAGTTGAATGGCCGCAAAATGATGAGCCAGGAATTGCCAAAGAGCTACCAATAATAAAGCAGTTCCTGTGTGCAACTGATTTCTCAGCGTCATCCAGAACGAACTATAAGCAATTTTGGTTTGGTACACTCAGATATAAGGAACAGGACGAGGAAAGAAAAAGGGGAAAATTAGTATTTTTTATTCTATTCAACGAAATGCATAAGCATAAAGTATTATGTTATTTGTATTTATTTTTTTAATCGTGCCATCTTAGTCTTGGTTCCCTGACATTTTTTTCTCTGATTAATACTAGTCTTCCTTGCAAACAATTCTTAAAAATATTTTTTCTATTTTAGAGGCGGAATCGTAGATATTATTTCTATACTTCGTTCATCTCTAAGGATTATTTACCAACCTCCAGCTTTCTGAACTTCCTTCCTTTTCCACGATTCATTTTTTCCCGCCATATCTTCCTTCTTGCTGTGGCTTCGGTGACTTTATATTTTAATTAATCTCCTTTTTCGTGTTGAGATATATTTGATGTTTAGGATATTTCATTCTACCAAACTATGGCCGATACGCTACAATGCAAACAATACCTTGATTTTTCAGGTATCCTTCGCAAAGATTCCGAATAAGATGTATCCCGACGTTTCGACGGTACCATAAAATAGTTGACGCCGTGAAATTGCCAGATAGACGAACTATGAAACTGAAAACTACGTCCCTGAATAGAAACTCCAACGTGATAGCGACACAGAGGAAAGATGACACCAAAAATCCGGAAGATTGCCTTCTAAATGTAGGCGGACCAACCAAAAGGATAGGCGAGCCGGTCAAAACAACTGGAAAATGTGGTAAATATACCGTGCGATGCCGAATTTTAAACACATTTAAATAATATTTTGAGAAGTATAATAATAATAATAATAGTAATAATAATAATAATAATAACAATAATAATAATAATAATAATAATAATAATAATAGTAATAATAATAATAATAATGGTGATAATAGTAATAATATTAAAAACAATAAAAAAAGTTTCTTTTGTCAATATTTTTGTTCTCTAATAAACGTTAAAGGAAGTCACTGAAGCGCTTTGAGAGTGTGAAATGTGAAATGAAAAGGTTACGTCGTATTCACGATGACAATAATAAAATATAAAGTTATTTTTGGTATTTAATGTCAACTGAACCACTAAAAATTTTGATTTCAGTTTTAAAAAATTGAAAAGATTTTGACTCTTGTATATATGTAGTGTTTGCAGGGTGTGCGATATTTTTTCAATCCTTGGTTAAAATAACGGTCACTTTCTTAAGACATTCCTATTCCAATTTTGCATAGTTTAGTCAGAAATTGAAGTTACGTGTTTTTTTTTTTTTCATATTTTGATTGCTGTGCTGTTACTCTACTAATACAGGTATTTCAATGAAACTTTAACCACAGACTAAGGAGATGATACGCCAGTTTGACAGATTATATAGGGTGTCCAAAATAGGTGGTTACGTTTTGACCAATTTAATTACCAAAATCTCAAGATTTTCAAATAGAACATCCTATATTTTTATTCAGATATTATTTCTCGGACATAAAACAAGTTAAAAGCACTTGTTGGAAATATTAGATATTAAACTTTCATTATTTATTTTTGTTATTTGTTATTTTCACTCAAGCTGATAAAATAATTTAAAAAAAATAAATAAAAATTCATATATCTGGAGTATAATATTACTAACAAGTGACCTAATGTGGTTAGCATTAAATTGATTAAAAATTTATATGGGTGTTATCTTAAACCTCGAATATCTCAAGTAAGAAAAAATTAAATATAAGATAAATTACAAACTTACCTTATTTTTTATCCTAGAATTGATACCTGAATAAAAATATTTTGTTAATTTTTGTTAATTGAATTCGCCAAAACGGAACCACCTATTTGGGACACCCTGTATAAGCTGCGGCGCATTTGTCAAACTGATTGAGTAGTGCATCATCTCATTAGTCTGCGGTTAAATTTTGGTTGCAAACAACACAACTTATTATGGGGCAATCAAAATATGAAAAAAAAAACACATAACCTCAGTTTTTGCCTATATGAACATCCCAGCCAAGGAAACTGTCAGTTTTTATACCTAGATAACTTATTGATATCGCTTCTGGTATTTTATAATTATCAAATTTTAAGCTTTCTATTTTTGCAACTTGAGAAAGGCATGTACACTTTGTTATGTTTAGCTTGATAAAATCATCCTTTACAAAATAAAATTGTAGCATCAGCAAAACTTATTAATGTGCCTTTAAGCTGAACATTTAACATATCGTTTATGTAAATAGTAAAGTAGAGCAGTCCTATGACGGTGCCTTGGGGTATGCCAAACCTTACTGATATCTCGTCACTTAAAGTGCCATCAATACAGAACCGTTGTTTTCTATTACATAAGTAGTTTCTTGACAAACAGTGTCAAATACTTTTAAAGATCTACGGACAGGCACCCTGCAAGCTGCACTGTTGTCCAGTGCATCATTTATTGGAGAAATCAGAAATCGAAGAGTTTAATAATACTAACTTTTGGCACTCTTACGGTGATTTTTTTATCTTGAAGTTTTTTTGTTGTTTTTTCAACCTCAGAAGAAGACATTGAGCTATGCAAAATAGGGATGTTATTGTTATATTTTCGTATTGGTTTGATTTTCTTTGCAGAATTTTCACCCAAGTCACTATAAAAGTTTTTAAATTCGTTTGACAAGGCGGTCTTTTGTTTTGTTTTTGTTCTTTTTTTTATTTTATTTTATTGCATATTTCATTAACACGAGAAGAATAAAACATACATATTTTTTTAAATTTCGTTTTGAATTACTTTTAAAATTCATCAGCTAATAGAAAATGACGCAGAAGATATAAGAAACCGAATTTGAATTAGACGCTACAGGGTGCCCCAAATAAACGAATATAGAAATACTACAACTATGAGACTCACACAATTGAAGTCGACATCGATCAAAAAATAAAAAATGTTCATTGGGACGAAAGAGAATCGATTATACGAAATAGTCTTGCGGAAAATTTTAATTCCGGATGCACCTTTGAAATGCGCGAAAGGTCGATTCCTTGTTTTTAATTAGATACGTTCTATCTTGTCGATAACACTCTAAATCTAAGGTTATTTAATAAACGCACGCTGATGCTAATTGAAAATTAAAAATTATTTTTATTAGCGTACGGATCGGCGGAGTGCAAATTATTTTCGTATCTTGACTCGCAATAGTTTTTTCCAAACCGAGACCAATATACATGGTATTTCATATGTTCATATGTTCAGCAGGCATGATAGAAAACAATTAAAAACCCTGATAATTGATATAACATGTTCGTCAATCTAAAAAGTCTTCCATACATTTTAAACCGTCACTCGCCCTATGATGACCTTGGAAATAATTAAAGTTTTAAATAGTATATGAGGTCGCTATTTAAATAAAACAATAATCGTAAAATTAAAACTCCAAAGGACGTATTTATTTAACATAAAAACTTACATAACTGTAGCTTTTAAACGACCAGTCTGCCTAAAACTTTACAAATAAATTACAATCAATTTTGATTACAAAATTAATCAACTGAGTAAAAACAAATGTTTTTGTTTTTGCATTAGAATATGTGAAATTTAAAAAAAAAGATAAATTCTTTGCAATTTACAAGCCGAAGATGTTTTTGTTAAGTCTGATTTCAGATGTAAACGTATCAAATTCAAGTTTTTGAACGATAAATTTACTAGAATTACTAAGCCGATGCAATGCACGTACTTTGCTCTCAAACATTTTGAAAAAAAGTTGTGGATATATTAGTAATGTCTTAAAATATCTCATTCTTCATTCTTCTTTCTGTTTTGAAAAATGTACGAAAAATTCAAAACGACATAAAGTGAGACTTTGTTAAAAGTGCAGCATTTCCGATCAGATATACAGGAAAAGTGGAAAGTGCTTAAGAGAGAAATACTATATGGTACTTATATTGTAAAAAATAGAACCTTTATTGCATATAATAAGAAATAACTTCGTCTTTCCTCTGTATATGTGTATGTTTAAAATGCGTTTTTGAGACATTCCTTACATTGCAAAACCACATTTTTTCTAACATTACATTTTTCACCACACCAAATGCTATCAATAACTCATATGAAATGCTGGTCACTCCTATTGTTTGATTTTTAATTTTTTCCTTTTTAATCTGAAGTCGTTCCCTTCTCTCCTTTTTTCTTCTTTCATGCTATGGGTCGCTTTTGGTAACCTTAAAATAATATTAAACAATCGTAAAATAAAAATTAGCAACAATTGCTATAGAAAATTCCAATGGGTATTGGAAATACCTCTCTAAAAATTTTGAATGTAAATTACACAAAAATCTCGAAAAAAATCAATAACCGTATATATCGGGTAACACAAGAAACCGGGAACACACGGGAATTTTAAATGGCACCACCTATAATTTTTTGCGTTTTTGGATGTAAGAGGTCATTCTACTTTGTTTTTTTAAATTTTTGTTTAAATTTTTGAAAAATTCCGGTCACCTGATCATGGGAAAAATTGTAAATGAAACGTCTAATGGCAAATAGCATTTATTATTAATTTGATTATTATTATTATTTTTAAGAATAAAGAGCAGATGAAAACTAACTATTATGCGCATTGATAGTTCGTAGCATGAAAATGTTATATATATATATATATATATATATATATATATATACATATATATATATATATATAAATATATATATATATATATATATATATATATATATATATATATATATATATATATATATATATATATATATATATATATATATATATATATATATATACATTAAAAATTTAGTTATTGTTGTGAAACAATACACTGTCCTAGCGACGTTTAAATACAGACAAGTTCGGCTCAAACACAACATCTGGGGCTAAACTCTTCCAATAATCGAAAGTCCTGTTATTTATAAAATGCAGGCGATGTGAAGTCCTGAATTGTTCATTTCTTATTTTAAATGGCTGACCACGTAGGCGTTCAGTATTGCTTAAGGCCACAAAGGGCACGTCAGATGGAAATTGGTCATACGCAAACCAAAACAGCCGACGCTGACTTAATGTTGGCATACTAAGTATTTTGGCACTGCCATCGTGACTCATCAGTGAACAAAATTGAGTTAACGAAATTTTTATTTTCGTCAACAGCCAATTATCTCAACAACAGCCAGTTACAACATCGAAGTCTTCTTACAAAGTCAGCTTCATAAAGATGTCGATGAAGGTTAAACTTAAAACAATAAGAGTGTTGTTTTTTTTTTAATTCTCCTCACAGATTCCCTTGAGATGTCTAATTCTGATGCCACTTCTCTTGGCGCAGCTGGATTTACGTTGACGTATCTCGCAACTTTGAGTTCCATTTCTTCGCTTATAATATAATTCTCATGTCGATTATTTTGTGGATTTTCATTTCCAACTTTCTAAACAAAGAATCTGCAGGAAGGAAACGTCCCGGATAGCGGTTTGCATACAATACACTGCATTCCCCGTATATCAGAAACATATCAACTTTTTCTCCGTTTGTAAATTGATTATTGTTTTCCATGATAATCCAAATAGATAACAAGAGTAACTGTCAAAATTTTCAATAATGCAGACTTGATGATGAATAGAAGCAAAGCCACCTGAGTAAAAATGTGCGTCAAAATGTTGAAAAAAAGTACCGGTTTTAAAAAGTTTTTGCTCCCATTGCACTAGGATGCTATTTGAAAAAACTAGGTTATCCTAAAAAATCAATAGTTCATTACATTAAATGCTATTTGCCATTAGACAATTT